TGATTGTTTGTTCAAGATCTACACAATTGTCATTCGTTCATTATAAACCATACAAACCTTGCAAAATATCATATGAATATGCATGCACCGTACGTACCTTTAAGTCTCGAGCAGAGTTAAGTATGATGAGTGCCAATAAGCCTTTGGTGTTCATGAGCACTCCAACAGTCAGACTATCTCGAGGTGACATTTTGTTCAACAAGCAGGCAACGAAAGTGCTCACGATTTTTGCTGCGTAGGCAACCAGGTTTATTAACACTACACGATATATGTTAGTCCCTGTTTTTGCCTCCTCTGGATCTTTCGTATTCAGAATATCTTGGAAACTCAGTCTTCTGGAATTGATCAAGTAGAAGAAGGGCATCAGAATCCCACGCACGAAATTTCCCATGTTCTCTATAAGCATGCTTGAGAACTCTCCCTTAGGTATGATGATTCCCAATACAAAAGGCCCTACGATGGAGTGGGACCCGCACGCATCGGTAATTAACCCGCAAAGCACCACCCCGGCCATAACATAACATGCAAGCTCATTATCGTTGCCATTCTCCTGGGCTCCCCTCCTGCGATTAATGATCCGCACGAGAGCTGGTCGTACTACAAAAACACAGAGTCCTACAAAAGCCAAGGTGGAACCCACCGTAAGCAATGGTCTACTTTTCACTACTGCCATTCCAAGCAAAAGAAGAATCCATGAACACAAATCGGAGATAACGGAGGCAGACAAGGCGAGTCCTCCAACATCAGAATAGAGAAGTTTGAGATCTGCAAGGATTTTGGCGAGGTCCAGGAAGTTGGTTGTGGCAAGAGTAATTCCCCAAAAGAATGAGCCGTCCTTAGTGCCCAAGTTTTTTGTTTGTTTAGCAAAGTCTTTGAGGAGTATATAACGATACAAGACCCAACCAGTAAGGAAGGAAAAGACCATGCCAGTAAGGGCAATGCTGACAGCCTTCCTACGAGCACGTAGTATTGGTTTGAAGTCAAGCTCTAAACCCACCAGGAACATGTGGTAAACGAGTGCCAAGTTTGCTAAGGTCTCGGCAACCACCGTGTTACTTATGGGAAATAGTTGTGGGTACAGATCACCCCTCATATTCCGACTCATTAAAAAGCCACCCTGAAAATTAATTCCAACTATTAATCCATAAGTTAACAACAAATATTCCTTTTATAGTAAATTTAGCTTATTAACTTCTTGAAAGTCATTTTTCCCCAACTACAACCTATCTCTTTATTTTTTCTAAATAAAACCCGATAACTAGGATCCAACTTGGTAAGTTACCTGATCAAGCGTAAAATTGAAATTATTGTACTTTTTCGATTCCTAAAATACCCTCAATTAAGCCTTATTGCTTGTATATGTAGGAACTAATATAGAAATAATTTTTTTGGAGTGTAAATAATGACACAAGTGAATTTGGAAAGATCTCCAAATGGATGTAGGAATTAATTTGGAAACTTTTTCTAAATTTAACAATAAATTCATATTTAACATACCTAATCAGTTTATTTAACAAAAAAATATTTTGTTTAAGAAATATACGTGATTAATGATCTATTATATTATTGTTTTATAATTATAATAGTCTACATACAATTTTATGTTGAAAAAATAATGCACCTATTACTTCTATTACGAAACGTAATTTTTTACTGTACCATCTCTTTTAGAAGTACACGGGCCTTCTACCTAACATCTATTTTTTATCAAAAGAAAAGCCATTGTTAATTACTAAGGATATGGATGCATGCAGTACTCACAAGAATGTCGGCAACAATACGCGGTTGGTAGAAGGGTTTGAGTAGGAGCATAGCAAGACGAGTGCTGACCATGGCCATGACGAGTTTTATAACAGTGACTGGGAGAGCTTGCATCAACGGATTCTCCACACGCCATAGCCCAGTTGGGGATATTGTTTTGTTATAACATGCCCTTAGTTCATCTTTTGAGTCGGCGAATACGGTATAAGATTCCCCTGCGTATGACCTTGTACCAGTTACACTACCCATTATGTTTATATGTATAGCAGCGCCGTCGTTCTCCTCTTCCTCTGCCTGACTTCCGAATTACATTTGCATCCGGAAGCCTTATACAAAGAAGCTAAGAGCGAGAGCGATAGCAAGAGAGAGAGAGACAATGAAATTTTTATGCATGTAATTCGTATATACATATATATACGCCAGGCATATATAATTTGTTGCAACAGTTAGGAACTGAGGCATCCCATTTCTGTACGTATCTGTATTAGGTTATTTTTGGCATGTAAGAAAGAACGACAGTAGCAAACTTATCGTTACACTGTACAGTTTTTCAGTTAGTTATACGACCAAGGCAGGTGTTCGTTTTAATGAAACCAACATTGCATAACCACTTAATCAAACCATATATAGTTTTTATATTTAAATCATTTTTTTTTAATTAAAAAAAAAGTGGTTACACCCTCAGCTATGACTACGGATCCCTAGATGGCTGTTGGAGGAATGGCAACTATGATTACCAACCACAAAAAATTTAAGAAAAAAGTGTAATTACAAGATACGCCTAACTGGATTTAAAACAAGCTTACCCCTTCCTTCTCTCTCTCTCTCTCTCTCTCTCTCTCTCTCTCTCTCTCTCTCTCATATATATATATATATATATATATAAACGCTACGGTTGAATAAGTTAACGGCTTGAATTTCAATGTCCTCATGGATATGTGATTTGAATTTGAATTCTTTTCACTCAGGCCAGTTTGGAATTGCTTTTTTTTTTTTTTTTTTTTTAAAGTTGCTTTTGTTGTGCTTTGAAAATAATTAGCTGTAAAGTAAAGCAGCTCCATGTTTGGTAAACAATATTTTTAAAGTGTTGTTAGTACAAAAAGCAGTGTCAAAACCATTTGGTAAATTTTAATATAAAAATGTTGTAACTGTGAATAATAAGTAAAATAGACATAATATTGAAAGTGTTATGTGCTAGTTATGTGATGGTAGTGGTGGTAAAGGAGATGAAGGTGAAGGTGGTGGTGGTGGTGGTGATGAAGGTGGAGATGGTGGTTGTGATAGTGGTGGTGGTGGGATGGCAGTTGTAGAGGTGGAGGTGGTGAAGATTGGGAGGGGGTGGTGGTGGCAGTGTGCTGTTGGTGTTGGTGGTGGAGGAGGAGGATGTGGTGGTGGCAGTGGCGGTGATGGTGATGGTGGTGGCGGAGGTGATGAAGGTGGTGGTGTCATTATTAAAAATTAATGGTGGTATTTTGGGAATTAAAAAAATTCATTAAAAGTTCATTTATGCTTCTTTTGAAAGCAGCTTTAAAAAGTTACCCAGAGCTTACTTTTAAAAGTTGTTGTCAAAAGACCACTTCTTTTAAAATAATCGAGATATTTTATTATTACCAAACATCTTAAACGGCTTAACTTTAAAATAAAGTAAGTTTTTTACCCAAAAAAACAATCTCAAACGGACCTCAATCAGAAACTGTTTACTATATATGAGTGGCTCAATGTATTTGAATTACCATGATAATAGTTGATATGTCTAGGAACTATTTGTATATATAAGGTCCTACAAATATGCATGAGAAAACACACAACTTCAATGTGAATTTTGGCCAAACATATTTGCTTGTGTTTTGAAATCTTTTGTGGTATCAAAAGCCCTCTAGTCTGGCGACTTCTTTTTACCTTTGCAAATTTGTTTTCCTAATCTTTTCAATGCCCAACACCAACAACAAATTCCCACCAAATTTTTACAACTTCATGTAAAAATTACTCTCATCTTTACAATTTCATGTAATCCAATCATATTTTAAATTACATCGTAAAACTTGACTTACAATTAAATATCTAATATTGAAGAAGAATTTACATGTAACGGGAATGCTACCGTGATGGTATCCCAAATTTATCAAGCATTGTCGACCCTAAATCAAGACTCGGGAATTGGATTGTCCACTGGTTTGATATATATATATGTGTGTGTGTGTTTATAATAAGGAGATTTGTGTTTTAATAATGTAAAAACTTTGATTAATTAAAGTAATGCAACGTAATTGAGACGGGGGTGCAAGTGTAACATATATTATTTGTGGCCCCAATGTTTTTGGGACAATGTGCGCATTATCTATTTGATAGATCTCTTTTTAAAAAAAATAAAAAATAGAAACTAATATATGTTCTGACTTTGATACTTAAAATATTACAATCCAAACTCTACAAGATCAACATTCAAAAAATTTAGGTAAAATAGGTAATAAATTTTAGTAGAATTGAATTTTAAAGTTACGTTTAGTGGGTGGGACTGCATTGGACTATTTTAATGAAAATAAACTGACCATATTGTGTCTTACAACTCCAATCTAGAGGAGTAAAACTGATAACAACTGGCTCGGATTCAAATCCAACCCAATCCAAGCTAGGTCACCAGATAAGGTGACGTCGTGCATAACAAATTTTGATATATATATATATATATATATAGTCCTATTATATTGGGATTCTTTGAATAATATTATATAAGGGACACATTTTATTTCAATGATATGAATATTTTATTTTTCAAGTCTTCATTTATTGATCATGCTTCCAAAAAATTAAACAACTTGAATGTCATTAAGATATCTACAGGGATGAATCCAGGATTTGAAACCTGCTTGGGTTAAATTTACTTTACGGACGTAAGAAATTTCAATAGTGAGAGAAAAAAGATAGACGCCAAAAAAAAAAAAAAAAGAGAAATGAAGGATAAAAGAAGAAGAGAAAAGCCGACAAAAAAAAGAAATAGGAAGAAAAAGAGAGAAAGGAGGAAAAGAAGAGAGAGAAAGAGAACATAGGTATTGCAAATTTTTTTTTAAAAAAAACAAATGCATGGGTTAGAGAGAGACTACATACTGACAATTAAAAAAGAACAATCGGCATGGCAGCCCAATAGCTGGATTCTTCCCTGAACGATGCGTCAAAAAACACTAAAATAAGTCTTTAGCTTTGGCTCTTCTCTCTCTTTTATTTATATATTTGTGTTCCTTCCACTCAGAGACTTGTGAAGAAGAAGAAGAAGAAGAATAGAGATAAACCAGAAAAGAAAATGGAGCCTGCTTCCTTTACCGCATCATCGCTCATAAGAGTTGCAGCTCTTTCTGGGTCTCTTCGTAAATCTTCCTATAACCGTGGTCTAATTCGTTCTGGTCAGTTACTTTTTCCCCATTTTTTTTTTTTTTTTTTTTTTTTTTTGTTCTTCCAATTGAACGGCGTCGTTTTGGGTTTTGTAGCGATTCAGATAAGCAATACGTCGATCAACGGCCTGCAGATAGAGTACATAGACATCTCACCGTTGCCACTGCTGAATACGGATCTGGAAGGCGAGGGGAGTTTTCCACCTGCCGTCGAAGCGTTTCGTCAGAAGATTCTGGAAGCTGATAGCATCCTCTTTGCTTCTCCTGAGTACAATTACTCCATCTCCGGTATAATTATTTATTTATTTATTATTATTCTCTTCTTTTTATTTATTTATAATGATTTTGAATTTGATGATCAAAGTCACAAAAGCATTTCTTTCTGTTTTTTGCATTTTAATGGAAATTAGATAATTATTTAATCAATGTTGTAAAACTGATGGATATTGCCACTTTCGTTTACTTTTCAGTAGATGACACACCCACACACTACTCGTGTGTTTTTTATTTTGTTTTGATGGCGACTACTTGTGTGTGATGATAATACATGATATGACTAATGGGAGGAATAGTTAAAGAGTTTTGATCTCCAGCATTCATTAGATATGTTAGTGAATTCAAATTTTGGTGAAGTGGGAGGAATTTGGCTCGAATGGACAAAAATAGTCCTTTATGTTACGGAATTGGAAATTTGACAAGAGTTTGTAACGAATCCTTAAATTAATCTGAATAAAAAATTACATGTATAAGATTGACACAACGAAACTATGATAAAACCGGCAAACTAAAGGAACCAAAAATTTAACCTTTATATATCATACATGCAAATAATAGTTGAGATATGAAGTCTTTAACCAATTGTTGACATAAAATCTTTAATGGGCCAAACTCATTTTCTTATATATAGTATTGACATGATAATAATTAGTTCCTTAACGTGTCAATTGTTTTTTTATTTATTTAAATCGTAGTTCTTTAATTCTAATTGGTTTTTTTTTAATTTTTAAAGAAAGAGAAAATGGGTCTAGGTGTGTCTCATGAAATTAGGACTCATGTTCTTATTTTGTTTTTTATTTTTAATATGTAAATTATTAATTTACTCTATTATCCTTATTTAGTTTTTAGTATGTAAATTATTAATTTACTTTATTATCCTTATTTAATGAATATTTCATTTCTTAATCTATATATATAAAGCAAAAGCCAGAGAATGGTGAAACATTCAAAATACCAGAAAATAATCTTTGTTAATTCAAACATTAAGAATTGAAATTATTAATTAAATGAGGTTAATATGATAAATTCACATTTTTTTCATATTAAAAAAATTAAAATAAAAAACAAAATCAGATAATAGGTCCTATTTTTATGGAATATAACTACCCGTGTTATCTTTTCTTATTTCTAAAAATAAAATATTAAATATACGCATGTGCTAATGGACTAGTATTTTTATTAACTAAGCCCATTTTGTCGTATTTGAATGTTTGATTATTCTCTACTTTTATATATAGTTGTAGCAATAATATCAATATTAATAAACGCATACCACCACTACTTGATGAGTCATGCTGCTTTACTAAAATATGTTAATAAATACAATATACTTGTTAGCATGTTATCAAAAAGAAAAAAAATTCATTAAAAAAAAACAGAGATTCTTTTGTGATCCACAAAAAAACATAAATGCTTTCGTGATCCACTAAACAGAAGTGCTTTTGGGACTTTCGTGACGCATTTCATTACCTTACATACATATTGATTGAATTTGTTTTTAATAAAAGAATTAGTTAAGCAAGGCTAATTGCTAATGCATGAACTTGGCCAGAATTTAATTATGATGAATGGACCACTCCAATAGAAAAACATTGCTAATTTCCATTGCACTAATCAAGTTTCATAATTTGAAATTCAAATTCACTGTATATGGAGTTTGATCACTATCTTAATTTGGTTTATTGGCAAGTTTCTGCATCAACTGCCTCAATGTTTTTTAACCTCCACAATATATACCAGCACCTCTAAAGAATGCAATTGACTGGGCGTCAAGACCACCAAATGTTTGGGCTGATAAGGCTGCTGCAATTGTAAGTGCCGGAGGAGGCTTTGGCGGTGGACGATCGCAATATCATCTTCGCCAAGTTGGAGTTTTTCTTGACCTTCATTTCATTAACAAGCCCGAGTTTTTCTTGAACGCATTCCAGCCTCCTGCCAAGTTTGACAGTGATGGCAACTTGATTGATGAACAGGCCAAGGAGAGGATAAAAGAAGTTCTTCTCTCTTTGAAGGCATTGAGCTTGAAGCTTCATCGAAAGCAATGAGAGGAGCTGTTTCGTGTTTCGAACTGCCTGACTTCTAAGTCTCAATGGAGGTTGCAAGTTTGAAACAAGAAACAGTCTCTTCGCAGGGCTCTGTGTACATCTGCCTATCCTTAGACCTCGCAATGGCCGTAGCCTCGCACCGGCTGCCCTTTTATTTTATGGTGTTGAAATTGTATGTGATTCTCAGACTTACAGGTGCTGTGTGATTCAGGCTCTGTCATGTTAGCATTGCAGGAGTTTGACGCTTTGTAGTTTATGCTATTATTTATTTCTTTCTGCCTCTGGAATTGGAATTTAGACCTTTGATTTGTGTTTATGTTTCTCTGGGCATAACGTGTGCTAATAAAATGTATCCATCGCAGCAAAGTTTGCGCTATCCAGGATTGGCATACACTTCCAATGTTATCAAATTGTTTTGCTAATGAAATGCAATTGTAAAATTGTGTTTTCATAATACTTCGGGTTTAGGTCTAGTCGGTGCGGCACTATGGGTTTAGCCTATATGGCTCTCTTCGGATTGCTCGGAAGGATGTGGAGCGGTTGACGTGCTTTTTATTTTGTTTAAGTCTAGTAATTCTCAGGAGTCTTTTTTGTGGTTTGTCTTATCTTTAGGATGTTTCATTTCTATTTAGCTTTGGCTTTGGATACAGATTTGTCATTTTTATCGTTGCGCGACAAATCTGTATTGTAGGTTTGAGTATATGTGCTTCTAGTTCCTGAATCGGGAATTTTAGTTCTTTGGGTTGTGCATAATTCTCTCCAAATCAATTCAATATGTGCTGTGTTTTGGTCACTAGAGAAGATTTACCCATATTTGGCACATTAGTGCTTTGTACTTTTGTTTCTTTATCGATAAAAAGCTATCGCTTATTTAATTTTTTTTTACTTTTAGGAAAATGTTATTCTCACCCAACAATTTTCTTTGCAGCGATTGAGACAAGCAATTAAAAAAGAAGAATCGGCATGGGCTACAGCCCATATAGCCCAATAGCTAAATTCGTCTATCTATACGAAGCTTCTTTAAGAACACAGTAATGACAACCCTTAATTTAGTGGTGGACCAAATTTGAATTTATTTTGCATAGATAATCTTTAAATCAATAATAAAATACTAAACCAGAAAAGAAAATGGAGGCTGCTTCCGTTTCCGCATCATCGCTCATAAGAGTTGCAGGCCTTTCTGGGTCTCTTCGTAAAGCTTCCTACAACCGTGGTCTAATTCGTTCTGGTCAGTTACTTTAACGCCGTTTTTTTAAATTTTTTAAATTTTCTTTTCTTCCAATTGAACGGCGTCGTTTTTGGGTTTGTAGCGATTGAGATCAGCAAGACGTCGATCAATGGCCTGCAGATAGAATACATAGACATCTCACCGTTGCCACTGCTGAATACGGATCTGGAAGGCGAGGGGAGTTTTCCACCTGCCGTCGAAGCGTTTCGTCAGAAGATTCTGGAAGCTGATAGCATCCTCTTTGCTTCTCCCGAGTACAATTACTCCTTCACCGGTATAATTTTTATTTTTATTTTATTATTATTCTCTTATTTATTTATTTATTTATGATTAATTTGCAATTGGACAATGCATGCCCTTACTGCCTAACCTTTGATGATCAAAGTCACAAAAGCGTTTGGAAATTAGATAATTATTTAACTAATGTTGTAATAATGATGGATATTGCCACATTCGTTTACTTTTCAGTAGATGACACACCCACACACTACTCGTGTGTTTTTTATTTTGTTTTGATGGCGACGACTTGTGTGTGTTCATATCAAGGTCGGTCCGAGATTTTGAGGTCGTGTTGATATCAAGGTCGGTTTGAGATTTTGAGAATCCTGTGCGAAACTTAAACTAGAGCATTCACATAATATAATATAAAAATGCTAATTTTTTTTTGTTAATATCATAAAATAATTTTTTTGTAACTAAAATTCATCAATTAGCATGTAATAACAATCACAAATCAAAGTCATAAATTTTTTAATGTTTTTATTTGATAAAGTTGAATATTAGTATGTCCGGTAAAAAAATAAGAGTTCAAGAGAAAGAAGAATGGTATGAATTTCCGTTTTGGTTTTGTTTTGAGTGGAAGAAAGTACTATTTTGTTTTTTGTTTTTAGGAGAAAGCGTATGGGTGTGATATATAATGTTGTTAATTTAATTGGATATTTTCCCTTGTGTTTTTATTTTCACGTGCTTAATTTTTTTTAAAAAAAAAAAACTATTTGGCTGTTATGCTAATTCATCAATTAGCATGTAATAACAATCACAAATCAAATTCATAAATTTTTTAATGTTTTCATTTGATAAAGTTAAATATTAGTATGTTCGGTAAAAAAAAATAACAGTTCAAGAGAAAGAAAAATGACATGAATTTCTGTTTTGGTTTTGTTTTGAGTGGAAGAAAGTGCTTTTTTTTTTTGTAGGAGAAAGCGTATGGGTGGGTGTGATATATAATGTTGTTCTTTTTTCACGTGCTTTTGTTTTAAAAAAAACTATTTAAATTTTTTTTGTTATAATGAAAAAAGAAGAAAAATTCAAATAGGTTTAGTTGGATCTTTCCCCTTATTTTATTTATTTTTTTTTTTCACGTGCTTATGTTTTTTTTGAAAAACTATTTTAAATTTTGTTTTTATAATGAAAAAAGAAGAAAAATTCAAATAGAATGACCTCACTAAGACTTCAACCTAGGCCTTCTACCAAACCAAGGGATGTGCGCTAGAAATCAGCTCCACCAAATACACTCTTGTGTCAAACTGTAGCACCCTGGAGTATATATAGAGTGTTTATAATATTAATATATATATATATAATATAAAGTAAAAAAAATTCAGGGGCCTTGTGAGGTGGCACCACTTGCACCATGCCAAGGCCGCCCTTGGTTGATACATGATATGACTAATGGGAGGAATAGTTAAAGAGTTTTAATCTCAAGCATTCATTAGATATGTTAACTGAATTCAAATTTTGGTGAAGTGGGATGAATTCGGCTCGAATGGAAAAAAATACCTCTCCATGTTATGGTCAAACTATAACAGAATTGGAAATTTGACCGGGCTTGTACGTGTCCTTAAATTGATATGAATATAAAATTACAGGCATAAGATTGACAAAACGAAACTATGGTGACCAAAGTGACCGGCAAACTAGAGGAACCAAAAATTACTTTTTGTCCTTTATATATATCATACATGCAAACAATAGTTGAGATATGGAGTCTTTAACCAATTCTTAACATAAAATCTTTAATGGGGCCAAACTCATTTCTTATATATAGTATGTACATGATAATAATTAGTTCCTTAATGTGCCAATTGGTTTTTTTTTTAAATTTTAGTTCTTTAATTCCAATTGGTTTTTTTATTTTTTATTTTTTTATTTATAAGAAAGAGAAAATGGGTCTAGGTGTGTCTCACGAAATTAGGACTCATGTTCTTATTTTTTTTTTTATTTTTTTTAATATGGAAATTGTTAATTTACTATATTATCCATATTTAATGAATATTTCATTTCTTAATATTTTTATTAACCAAGTGCATTTTATCGTATTTGAATGTTTGACCATTCTTTGTATCTAAAGTAGGTGGTAACCACCTTTGGGACCAAGTGTGGCTTGAGTGGATTTTTGATATTTTAGCTAATGATGTAAACCTTGCTATTCATCTTTAATAAAACTCTCTTCATTGGCCAAAAAAAAAAAAAAAAAGTTTGACCATTCTTTGCCTTTATATATATATTTATATAACATACTTGTTAGCATGTTATCAAAACGAAAAAACTTTCATTAAAAAAAAACAGAGATGCTTTTGTGATCCACTAAAAAACATAAATGCTTTTGTGATCCACTAAACAGAAGTGCTTTTGTGATCCACTGAACAGAAATGCTTTTGTGACTTTTATGTTATTGAAATTCAAATTCACTGTATATGGAGTTTGATCACTATCTTAATTTGGTTTATTGGCAAGTTTCTGCATCAACTGCCTAAACATTTTTTAACCTCCACTATATATACCAGCACCTCTAAAGAATGCAATTGACTGGGCGTCAAGACCACCAAATGTTTGGGCTGATAAGGCTGCCGCAATTGTAAGTGCCGGAGGCGACTTTGGCGGTGGGCGATCGCAATATCATCTTCGCCAAGTTGGAGTTTATCTTGACCTTCATTTCATTAACAAGCCCGAGTTTTTCTTGAACGCATTCCAGCCTCCTGCCAAGTTTGACAGTGATGGCAACTTGATTGATGAACAGGCCAAGGAGAGGTTAAAAGAAGTTCTTCTCTCCTTGCAGGCATTTAGCTTGAAACTTCATCGAAAGCAATGAGAGGAGCTGTTTCGTGTTTCGAACTGCCTGACTTCTAAGTCTCAATGGAGGATGCAGGTTTGAAACAAGAAACAGTCTCTTCACAGGGCTGTGTGTACATCTGCCTATCCTTAGACCTCGCAATGGCAGCAGCCTCGCACCGGCTGCCCTTTAATTTCATGGTGCTGAAGTTGTATGTGATTCTCTCAGACTTATAGGTGCTGTGTGATTCTGGCTCTACCATGTTAGCATTGCAGGAGTTTGATGCTTTATAGTTTATGCTATGATTTATTTCTTTCTGCCACTGGAATTGGAATTTAGACCTTTGATTTGGCATAACATGTGCTAATACAATGTATCCATCGCCCAGCAAAGTGTGCTATCCAGGATTGGCATACACTTGCAAAGTTATCAAATTGTTTTGCTAATGAAATGCAGTTGTGAAATATGTTTTTATACATAACTAATTATTATTTTAGGAAAATGTTATTCCCAGCCAACAATTTCCTAGCTTGAAACCTCTTTGGTAAGACCCAGAGAACTTTCTATACAACCGCAATTTTTGCAATAGGTTTACCCAAACTCATGGCATCATTTGTTAAACATTCTAGTCTCTCATAAAAATCAGAGGTAATGCAGACATCATTGATTAGTTTTAAAATTTATTTGTTAGTTTCCTTGGTTCTCTAGTAGGGGTGGGCATCGAGATCAAAAAATCGGAACACGAAGCCGTATCATGCCCAAAAAAACGACCATGTTCATTAAAAAGTCAATAAGTCGGCACCGAACCGGATTAGATCGGTTCAAATTGATTTCAATGTCGGTTTCACACCTTACAAAATCAGATTGGACCAAACCAGACCAACTGTGTATTTTTTTATTTAAAAGAATAAATTATTTAAGTCCGATACTAAATTTCTAATCCCATAACTAATATTTTCCCAAGCCTAACTTCAAAACACCTCTCTTTTCTAGGCTTAATCATCTCTCTTTGCATGAAATTTGGTCATTTGTAAATTTTTAAGCCCAAAAAATAAAGACGTCAAGTTCCTATTGAGTTTTCCTTCTACAAGGACCATGTTTGGTGTGATGTGGTGGCAAGGGATGTGGGTCATATTCTCTTGTGAAGACAATGGATTTCAGATCACAATGTTACCATCTTTGGTTGAGAAAATATATGTTGTCACCCTGAAACTACTGCAACCGAAGCTCGTGAATCAATCTACACCAAATACGGACGTGCACGACAAAGGAGGTAAATCCAAAGCTCCTCATATAATTACTCTTAATTAATTTAGGGAAGATGAAGAAGTTCCTACTCAAGTGGAAGTTAGATCTGATTCTTATAGTACATGTGTTCCGAAGGAGAACCTGCAGCGCATTGATCCCGACATTTTGGAACATTATTACAAATTTATCTTGTCGTAGTCGAGCTCTTCTTAGCCAAGGGGAATTGATGCATACATCATTTATTAGTTTCCAAATATATTTTTTAGTTTCCTAGGCTCTCTATCCTCCATTTGAACGAGGGAAAATAACTCGGAATTTAGCTAAAAGTTGAAAATTTAAGATGAGAAATTGATAATCCCCTTATTTGGCAACTTAAGCGCGGAATTTATTAAATGGTGCGTGGAAAAAAACGAGGAAATTGGAGTATCAAATTTCTAAGTTTAATTTCCACCAAAATAGGCATCATTTCACAATTTACATAGTGCCGTTTACAAAATTCTGTCATTTAAAAATTTGACATACATAAATCCAAACATTGAAATCTTCCATCGCCAGAAATTGAAATGATGGAAATCTAATTCCCTCATTTTAGAATTCTATCTAATTTTCAATTCCTTCATCCAAACAGAGTGCTAGTTTTCCATATTCCAATAAAAATTTAATATTCCAGATTTTAGCATGGTTTCTATTTTTTTTTTCTTTTTTCCAAATTTATTTGGGTTAGGACTTTGCTTTTAGCAAGGATAAAATCTTTATTCATCTATTTTCTGTTTGGCTTATTTACTGTTTCACCCCCTAGAGCTCAAGCTTGCTCTTAGTTAACCACCCGAAACTTAAATTTCTTCACTCTACCCCCTAAATCTCTAAAAATTGCTGAAATTCTCTCCATCAACCATCATCGACCAATTTGGATCAAGTAATTAGGAAATAAAAAACATTACATTTCACAAAACAGGGGACAAGTTAAGCTAGACCAAAAATGCTGTACACTTCGTGCCTGTATGTAGGAATGTGTCAAATGTTTTTGTAGAAAAACAAAAGGCTATATACAATGGTTCCCTCCTCTGGAAACGACACACAAAGAAGCCTTGCAAATGAAAAGCTCTCGACGAAAAGGCATGTTGTCCTGAAAAAAGACCACTAATTATTCGGCATTTTCAACTTAAATAGGTTGAGAGTGAGAGTGAACTATTGAAAGGCAATACTTTGTTTGTCTCTCATGAGTCATAACATATGATGACTCGATCATTTATGTCGAGGCAAGGAATGTGAGATATGTTGGCCCGATCTTGTCCCATCTTATTCTCATACCGCTTCTCCAGGCCATAATGGTTGGAGAGAAGTGAATTGGATACTGTCACACTCACTAATATATAGCTCTTGAAGAGAAGTGAGGTGTCCAAGTCCCTTTCCGTCCAAAGATTTCAGACTTGAAAGTCCCCAGATGCGAAGAGTGTGAAGAGCAGAAGGGAGCAGCTGTTCCTTGAGCAATGTCTCCAAGATATCGTCACTTCCCCTGCCACCAATTGTAGTGTTTAAGGGAGACAACAGCCTTCTGCAAATGACACTAAATTTGGAAGTTCAGTCATCTCCAAATGTCGAAGTGCTGTGAGGGTGTGAATGCGGTGGGAAAAAGACACCAGTTATTCAAAACCTGGTGTTCAGGTTCAGCATCCGATTGTGAAATCCTGTTTCTTTTCACCGCTATTCAATGTGGATGTTAACCAAAGTGCTTTCCGTTTCCATACCTCAGCTCAGCAAGATACTTCTAAATGCAAAGAAAAAGAAATTAGAAGGTGTTGCAGTCATCAGCAAATTTGAAAAGAAAATATTAACGCGAAAATTCTTCGAGAAGAAATCACGTCGAATACTTTCAATATATGTACGCATGCATTTACTGGATTCTCAAATTTGAAAACACCTCTGAAAGTCAAAAGAGCACCAAATAAACAACAATAGAGGGCAAAAGAATACAACACTTTTTCATGTGACTTCTAATCTTTAGATTGAAGATGAGCTATACAGATTCAGTGTCATTCTTCTAAGATGCAGCTATTTAGGAGTTACTTGACGATGACTTTCTTACCTCTGTGCAGTCTGCAGAGCCTTCAATCCTACAAATTTTTGCAACTTAGCCACTTATAAGAAGCATTTCCAGCCTCCAGTAGAAAATTTCAAACAGAAATCTTTGTGAATCTTTATGTAAGTCTTCAATTTTCCATTGCACTTGAGATATATAGAAAAGTCTATTGAATCAGCATTCGGTGAAGGCTGATTTTCTGTCTCAAAAGATGATGAAGTGAGCCAAGCCATGTATGAACATGCTGGGTCTGTTCCTAGAAGTCCAAATTCGAATCAACAAATTAATGACAACAGGAATTTATTCTTTATGTTTAGGTTCTAAATGCACTATAGAATCATGCTGATAAATTAATCTATGTAGACAGTAGGAAATGTGTATAGAAAGAGGTGTTTACCACGAAATATACAGCTGACCTAATCCTTGTTCATCTCCGGTCTCAACTTGAACTGCTGAAGAGCAGATTTAAGTAAGCAACCATCAGAAATGAAGCAAAGGACATGACAACAAATAACACAGACAAAACAATCTATCTCAATTGACTGTTCAAATACAATAAATAACCAGTGATATGACAATATTAACCAGTGGCATCCACAGACAAAAAAATCTATCTCCATTTGAGTGTTCAATAGCACAAAGTGTATGATTCAAATCACATATATGACTAATGTAATGCGACGGACCTGTTGGTGACGACTCCATATTACAAGAACTGAGATGATATACCCATCAAATAATTAAAAGGGTAGTTACTTGATGACTTACCTTTTTGCAGAGCATTTGATGACACCACATATTGCAACTTAACCACTTATAAGAGATACCTCCAGGATCCAACAGAAAAAATGTTTACTCTTTGTGTAGATCACTTCAGTAATTTTCCATTGCACTTTTAGATTCTAGAAAAATCCATTGGCTCAGAACACAATTCGAGGCCCATTTTCTGTCTGAAATGCTGATGACGTGATACATTTAATGTATGAACCTGCTTGGTTTGATCCTACCAATCAAATTTGGAATAAGAAAATTGATGGTAATAGGAAAGCAACAAAAAAGTGAACCATATTAAATCTTGCTGAGAAACTAATCTGATATACCCTTACAGAAGCGAGCACAGAAAGGCCAGTGAAGCAGCTTCGACTCTGAAATCATCCATGGTTGCCTACACAAGTTGATTTGACCTCCAAACATGGGAAAGTTTCTCAAGTCTGCAAGTATGCATACAACATTTCAAGTGTCATCAAATAGAACTTTGCAGCTGAAGGAATGATTTGTGGGACGGTAAAAACAAAAAAGAAAATCATTTGCACATAAGATATTATAAATGCAATAAATATGCCAATTAGCATAAGACCTCAATCATGTTGGAAGTCAATACTCCCGGATATCAAGAATTAGGCAATAAAAATATGTTAACTGATTCTTAAATGATATTTTCCTTCTAGTTATGTAATATGCCTTCAACTTATAAAGTCCTATTTCTGTATCGTTTTACATGTACAAAAATTCTTCTTCTTTTTTTTCAATTACGAAATCCAACTTTCATGAAAAATAAAGGAGTATAGCAACAGCCAGCAAGGTATACACCCTTAGCAGGTCAAAACAAAAACAATTACAGAACAACTCAAACACCAAATGAACAAAACAGAAACATAGCATAAAGAAGATCTAAACTACAGCAGCTTGCCTATTTGAATAGACGATGAAGAAAGAAAAATCCCTAGAGTCCAATGAGGTGCCGAAGAAATGAACCCTCTCCCACAAGTGATCCACATCCCCTCACCCTTCAAATCATCGAAGAACCTCCTATCCCTATCCAACCAAACAGCCCAGTTGTCATTCATCACAGATCCCCAAAACGAGCCCTCTTCTTTCCACCAAAAAATTTAAGCTTTACACAACAATGCATTACATGAAGCAGGGTTAACTCAGCTCAATCTTACCTCCTTACTAGCTGCAACTATATAGATAAAGCTACTAGGTCAGCTGGACCAGGGAGATACACTTTTGAAATATGTAGTTTTTTATTCTGAGAGGCTGACTCCTTTTAGTAGAAAAAAAGGAGAAGAGATTAATCAATTAATAATAGAGTCATAAAGCCTCAGCTGATATGCCCAAGTACTATTAATCTAAAGAGTCATAAAAGTAACCAATATGCTTTGGATCGCATTTTCCATTCATGAATCTGTTCCTTATACCATGTGAATAAATTTCCTATGTCAATCTTTTCAGTTGAACAAAACCTTTTGGTAAGAAATTTGTTTTGTTACTACTGAGTTTTATATTTAGAAAGTACCAACAAATAGTCTTACAAACGTCCAAAACATGACAAAAATAATGCATGTATTCTTCAAACATCCCATTGTTGGAAAAATAAAATAAAATAAAATTTGGCCTATCTTGATGTACATACCATATGATGACTTCAAGGAATGTGAGAGAGAGAAAGAGAGAGAGAGAGCTCATCTCATATGGTCACTTCATGGCCTATCTTGATACAAGGAATGTGAGATATGTTGGCCCAATCTTTTCCTGTCTTCTCTTATACCTTTTCTCCCGGGAAAAACACTTGGAGATACTCAGAAAAGAAAGAGAAGTGATGTTTTTAAGTCCCCTTCTGTCCAGAGATTTCAGACTTGATAGTCTATTGATGTGGAGAATGTAAAGAGTGGAAGGGAGCAACTGTTGCTTGAGCAACATCTCCAAGATATCATCACTTCCCCTGCCACCAATTGTAAATTCTTCAAGGGAGACAAGTCCTTGCAAATCCCAGTGCTCTCCCACTGAAGCCCTCAGTCTATTGCAATTTTCAATGGTAAAATATAGGAGGTTGGGAGGCAAACCCCCATCTTCTGCAAATGACTCCAGATTTGGAAGATCACATATTGACAAATGTTGAAGGGCTGCGAGGGTGTGAATGCGTTCGGACAATGACTTCAAATTTTCAGATAGAGTGAAATGCCGAAAAGCAAAAATTTGGTGTGAGAGAGAACTCATATCATATGATGACTTCATCATTTATCTGGACGAAAGGAAGGTGAGATATCTTGGCCCAATCTTCTCCCATCTTATTTTCATACCTTTACTCCAAGGCAAACAAATGGAGATATCTCAGAAAAGAAAGAGTCTTCTGGCAGGAATTGGAGACTCAGACAGCCATAAATATGCATCTGTTGAAGAGAAGTGAGGTGTCGAAGTCCCTCTCCTTGCAGGCATTCCAAACTGCTACACTGGAGAATATGCAGCACTTGAAGAGAAGTGTGGTGTCCGAGTCCCTCTCCTTGCAGGCATTCCAAACTGTCACACTGGAGAATATTCAGCACTTGAAGAGAAGTGAGGTGTCCGAGTCCCTTTTCGTCCAAAGAATTCAGACGTGAAAGTTCCCAGATGCTGTTCCTCAACGCCTCCAAGATATTGCCACTTTCACTGCCCACCAATTGTAAATTTTTGAAGGGAGACAAACCCACTGAAGGCCTCAGTCTCTGGCAATTATGAATGTGAAGATATTGGAGGTTGGGAGGCAAACCTTTGCTGCAAATGACACAAGATTTGGAAGACCAAGTATCCTCAAACGTTGAAGGGCAGTGAGGATGTGCATACGTTGTGGTAATGACTTCAAATTCTTGTATCCCCTGACTCTAAAGTCATTAAAGTCATTAAAAAAATTGTCAGTTGCTGCGAAATAATATGGGTGATGTGCGGGATAAGGATAAGGCATAACTTTGAAAAACCAAGAAATAACAAAGAAAAGAACAAAGCTTAAACAAGGTTAATTCTCTAAGAAAATTTTGTAATTGCTGAATGATCTCTCTCCTCAACCAAAGACCACCGGTTGATACTAAGACAATATACATTAGTAAGGACACAGCGTTTATACGTACATGCAGTACCAATGAATGTGCCCCTCGGGTACTGGAACAATATGAATGGTAAATATCATGCTCACATCTTCAAAAAGATGAAAACAATAATATACTGCCAGTGCCACTGTAGGAATGTTTCCAGGTGAACCTTTCCGTCTCCCCTCGTTGTGACAATAGTTTTTTGTAGAAAAACAAAAGTCTATAAACAATGGCCCGGAAATGACACGTTCAGAAACCTTGCAAATGAAAAGCTTTTCAAGAGAAGGTGCTGTCCTGCAAACCGAGTATTAATTATTCAGTATTTGATACTTACTATAGGATATAAGTTTCGAAAGAGAAGGAGAGAATTTACTGAGCAAAATAATAATAGAAATCAGATTGAGTTTTTGTGTGTTTTTCTGGAAAATGATTTTGATAAGAAAGTAGCATGAGACCAGTAAGAAGCAGTGACAATGTAATTCACAAAAAGCTGAGAGTAAAATTAGAAATTGAGCTTGAAATGTTTCGATTATTTGGACAGTGAATTTCAGTTTTTGAAGTACATACCTTGTTTGTTTTATTCTCTTCGGATGAATTCACCATTTATCTCGATGAATGGAATGTGAGATATGCTGGCCCAATGATCTTGTCCCGTCTTATTCTGATACCTTTTCTCCAGGGCAGAACAATTGGAGATGCTCAGATAAGAAAGAGAAGTGTTGAAGAGACTCGGACAGTTATCAACAAATAGGTGTTGAAGAGAAGTGAGGTGTTGAAATGCCTCTCCTGGCAGGAATTCCAGACTTTTACAACTAAGAATATTCAGCCCTTGAAGAGAAGTAAGGTGTGCGAGTCCCTTTCCATCCAAAGATTTCAGAGATGAAAGTTCCTCGATGTGGAGATAGTGAAGAGTGGTAGGGAGCAGCTGTTGCTTGAGCAACGTCTCCAAGATTTCATCACTTCCCCTGCCACCAATTCTAAATTGTTCGAGGGAGACAAGTGCTTGCAAACCCCAGTTACAGTAGTCTCCCACTGATGAAGATGAAGCCCATCCTCTGCAATTGACTCCAGATTTGGAAGATCCGTTATTTCCAAATATCGAAGGGCCAAGAGGGTGTGAATGCGTTCAGGTAATCGAGTCAGGTTTGGACAATTATGGACACGCAGGCTATTTAGATGACTGAGAACCGCTCCTTCTTCAATCAAGCAAAGCGATTCCAGATTGTCACAATTACCAATTCCAAGTGTCGTCAATTTGGGAAAAATGCCCAAGGGGAAGGACCTCATTGAATCACAGCTATTATGTATCAACAAATAGTCGAGTGATGTTAATTTGGCCAACATCTCTTGAGGTAGGAATTCTAATCTCCTACAATTGAATATTGTAAGTGATGTCAACGAAGTGGGTAGGCCATCTTCAGGGAACGACGTCAGCGTTGGACAATTCCAGAGAGTCAAACTTTGAAAACGATTGATGTTGGGCAAGCACTGTATGTCATTCAAACGTCCAATGTCAAGTTCGGATAGGAGCTTTGGCTCTAGTAATGATAACAGACCTGTTTGGCATCCATCTTCTATTATCAATTCTTCAAGAGAATTGTAGGTGAGACTAGTACTACTACTAGTAGTAGCAGTGGCCCTTTGATCATGCAAAACCCCACACCCATTCACGCTAAGCTTCTTCAAGCAAGGCAGATCACAAGGCAAGCTTCCTCTCAACTTCGGACACTTTACTAGAGTAAGCACCTGGAGACAAGGAAAGTCTGGACCTCCACTTCCACTTGGTACCCATTCCTCCCACTCTGCCATCTCCTTAAACCCCAGCTTCTCCAGTGATTGAAATGGCTGAATTAGATACGCTCCATTTCTGCCATAGAACTCAACACCAATTGTCTTAACAAATTCCATCCTTTTTATATAGAGCTCTTTGAGAGCAGGTAGCCCCCCAACTGGTGGCAGCGACCAACAATATTTACAATTGCTGAGACGCATGACTTGTATGTTTGAGAAGCATGAGTTTCCTAACCAATTAGGGAAGTTGGTTCCACCGTAAAATTCGATGGTCAGTTTCTCCAAACTAATTGAAGGCTGGAGCTTGTCAAGTACATCTCTCACTTTTTCGGAATCATTCGAGTCTTCATCGCCCCATGCCAACTCTAACTCCTTCAGATCCTTCTTATTCTTCAAATTGGCTTGCGCTGCATCCTTAGCATCAACTACATTTTGCAATTTTAGAATTGAAATTTTTCCTCGAAGATGTGGAAGCTCCTCCAATTCCCCAATGGTCGACCCAGTAGAGTTCCCCACAACAAAAGCAGTCAACGTTCTCAAACTTTTTAGTCTACTCATTTGTGCTGGCATCTCTGCAATTTTAGTTCCACTCACATCAAGATGATGCAAACTACTTAATTCCCACAGGTCTACAGGCAATTTAGCAAGAGACGAACAACCTCCCAGCATTAATTTCTGTAAATTTATCAATTTTCTCAAGTCTGCAGGTAATTCAATGAGAGAGGAACAATTTGACAATAGTAATGTTTGCAAATTGTACAAACTGCAAAGTACACCAGGTAACCTTTCAATTGCAGTTCTAGAGAGATCCAAATAGCGCAAGTGAATAAGATTTTTAATAGAATCAGGTAGCTGAGTGACATTCCTATAATGTGACAATGATAACACCCGTAAATATCTGTGTGACGACATCAAATCTTGTACAACCTTTTTACTTAGATAATATGCTTGATAAGTATTTAAAGAGGTAGGTAGAAAGGTACGCAAACACTTAGCCCCCTTAAATGGCTCACATTTTGGAGCACCATCAAAATCTTCCCTAGCATATGACAAATGGCGAACTCTTTCTAATTCATGTGATTCCCCACCACCTTCCAACCTTGAACAAAATCCTTTAGACATGAACACAGCCAAGTCATTGATGAGATCATGCATAACGAAACTTGATTTCCTTGACGTTTGAAACAATGATCGAGATAACAGTTCATCAAAATATTCCTTAGCCACCTCTTCCATGTTGTCCCCATTCTCTGCTTGCGAAATTAAACCTTCCGCCATCCAAAGAAAAACAACGTCTTCCACCTTGAATTCATAGTCTTTTGGAAAAATTGAACAATAAATAAAGCATCGCTTTAACTTAGCTGGAAGATAATGATAACTCAATCCTAGAGCAGGAAGAATGTCACTTTTCTCTGAAGGTAAATCCCAAATGCTGTTGTTTAGTACTCTGTTCCATACCTCGACGTCTAACCTGGAACGTAACAAACCGCCAAGTGTTTGTGCAGCTAAAGGCAACCCATTGCACTTTTGTGCAATTTTCTTGCCGATTTCTTCCAAGCTTGGATATGCACTACAGCTTACATTTCCAAACGCATGTTTTGCAAGTAATGACCAACAATCTTCATGCGACAATGGTTCCAAGGGTTGAGTAGGAACATTTTGCATGAAAGATGCTACATTTTTGTTCCGTGTTGTTACGATGACTTTACTTCCCCTTGCCCCTGAAGTAAAAGGAGTTTGGAGACAGTTCCAATCAGTATATTTCTCATTCCAAAGGTCATCCAACACAAATAAAAATTTCTTCCCCTTGAGTTGTTCTCTTAGTTCAACTTGAAGCAAATTCAGATCTGTCGTATTACAAGGTTTTGAAGTGACTGACTCAAGAAGAGTTTTAGTTACCCTGATAGCGTCATAGTCTTCTGAAACACAAGCCCAAGCTTTAAATGTAAAATGCTCTATCACCTTATCGTCATTGTAAAGCATTCGAGCAAGGGTTGTCTTGCCAACCCCTCCCATTCCAACAATGGTAATGACGGGCACATCCTCCTTGCTAGCATCATCAGAGAACAACACTTTTGATAAATTTTCTTTGACTTCATCTCTACCATATACAAAAGGTTCATGAACCAAGGAAGTTGTTGGAGTTCTTTGTGAAACCTTCCTCCCAACAACTTCTGTCAAACCAAGAGCACCTTTCAGTTGTACAAAGTCTTCTAGTTTTCGTAACAACTCCTGTATCTTAACATTCATGCTTTGATAAAACTTATTACGAGAAATAGGGAGGAAGTTCCACACCTTGTTGGTAAATTTGTCGGCTGTTTGAGATTCACCTTCCAGCTTGCATCGCAAAGCTTCATAGTTGATCTCATCCAGCAAGTCCTCCGCATCAAAGACTGCATGTTTGAGGTCGTCAAGCCACTCTCTCACAGCTGGTTTCTCAATTTGCTTCTCCTCTGCATCATCGAGCACTGCGTTCAAGGTCAACAGGGTCCTCTTCAGTTTCATGATGAGAGTTTGATCGAGTTTCTTGTGCCGAAATAAGTCGATGAAGTCGGGTAAAGCAATTCTGTCACAAATCACCTGGATGGAAGCAGAAATAAAGGCCTCTCCGATCAAAGCTCCAGCCATTTTTCTCTTCTTTTCTTTGCAAGGGAATTGGATGAAGCAATTCTTTTCTCAGCTCGCACAACTTGGAAATACAGGTAAGGCAGGATGAAAGCTTTTGTGATTGTAATTATATATTATGTATTTAACAAGTACCGTTTTTCAAGTGATGATAATTTAAATTAATTTTTAAAAATGTCTTTCTCTGGGATGACAAGTTTTTTAAACTTTTCTTTGCCCTCACCTGGGGAATGGGTCGTCATTACCATTAATTAATTCAAATTGGATGCTGTGGGATGACTAGACAACAGCGACAATTCAACGGTCCTCAAGTGCACCAGACTCGAATGCCGTTGATCTCTTTGTGAATCTACGGCTCTTAAACAGATTTCAAAAGGTAAGGTTGCATGAAAGCTTTTTGTGACTATATATTTTCCGAGCAGTCATGTTTCATTTTCTTCATCAACAAAGTAAAAACAAAAATATAAAAATTCAGATAAGAAATTCATATTATAAAGAAATTGATTCATATTTGAAGTTCGAGAAACAAGATAAATAAAAATAAAAATTAGGAAGCTACACCAAAGGTAAAAGTTAGTTGGTGAAACTTACTTTACATATGCTAATGCAGGTCTTGCATCGCATTTCCTCTTCTTGGTTCTCTTTGTTTCTTTCTTGTTCCCTACATTGTTTCGGCTTCTGTATGGTTTAGTAGTGGTTAGTAAAATGGTTATGCTCATCGTGACGGAAAATATATCAATTTATACATGCCCTTTGATGGACTAAAAAGAGGGGTTGCTATTGTTAAGTTTTTAATATGAGTCATATGAAGGACTTTACCATGATGTTGAACTTATTGACTAATTTTCCTTTTTTATTTTTTATGTTTTAGTGGGAGAAGATAATTGATCAAAGTTACCCGTAAAAAGAGATTGATGAAGTGTGTGGTGAAGGAGCAGAATTTCTGGGGGGTTATACATAGACCTTGGGAGTGAGTTTTATGGGTAACTTAGAAGAATTCTTTTCTATTTTGGTTAACTTGAGGACAAAAATTTATGCTCAACAGATGCTTGTGATGAATTCTTTTATATTTTGGAGCATATTTTGTCGTATGAGATCACATTTGATTACATTTTTTAATTGAAATATTTTGAAACATGTTTTGAGAATTGAAAAAGTCTTTGCAAATGAAACAACCTAAAAAAAGAGGATATAAACCTACAATACCATTACAAAATATCACCACTTAGACGACGGTAACGAAATTATATTGTCGTCTAATTACCATTAGGACGACAAAACATAACAAATAGAGGACGGTGATCCACTATTGTTTGAATTGATAAATAGACAATAGTAATTTTGTAAAATTGTCGTCTAAATGGTCAATAAATAACGATAAATCATCGTCGTCTATAATGTCACAATAGATAGCAGTCGACCATAGACCACCGTCGTCTACAGCCTTTTTTTTCTTCTTCTAGTGAATAGCATAAAATAATGATGAACGGGTATTAAATCAGATATGATGCAGTGCCTAGTGTATGATAATATAGGAATAGAGTAATAAACATGACGCAGGGGGTGAAAATATAACCTTTAATATATAATAACCAATCAAAAGATGCTTAAAGTTGAAAAGCTTGAAGTATTGTCATATTAGTTTAGTAAATGCATTTGAAAGTTGTCAGATGAGATAAAGAAATAATTTTGCTTGGGGTTAATGACCTAAATGGTCCCCCAACTATCCCGCGATTATTATTTTGGTCCACCAACTAAAATTTTCAATTCAAACGTCCTTAAATTTTTTTAATGTACCAAAATCGTCCTTCCATGATAGAGTCCGTCACTTTCGATCACGTGATGGCCACGTGACTGAGTTTTGAAGGGTATATGCGACTTTTAGAGAAGCCCTATCACTCAGAACAAACATCCCTCAAAAATACGTCAACATTTTGAGAAGGCCTCTCATTTCCCGCGAAAACCATCGAGTGAAAGGGATTCTAACGCGAGTTGCTGAATTGGTCGATGCTGTAGTAGTGTGCGAGTCGTTGAATTGGTGAAGTTAGGGTGTAAATTCAGTGTTAGTTTTGGAGTTCGAATGTGGGAGTTTGGGTTAGGGTTTGATTTTGGGGATTTTTGGAGATTTTGGGAAATTCACTTGTTGCTGATAATGGAGTTCGAATTCCGTTCGGGTGGACAGACTCCCAAATACGGTAAGGGCTTCTATAATGCATTTTATGTTGTTTTTATTTGGAAATGGATGAGTTGTCCTTGTCTGGAACTGTGGTTCCTTTATAAAGATTCATTTTTCTGTGTTTGTGTTCGGCTTTTTGTTTGTTTTATGTTTAAAGTAAGAGTAAAGGAATCTTTTTCTTGTATGTGGATGTGGATTTGGCTTTTGCTACATTGACTATAGAGTGTAAGCTTTATGTCTGTGGTCCCTTGGTTGTGGTTCCTGCATGTTTAGGGTTTATGGTGTTTTTTTTCAATGGCTGTGGTCCCTTGGTTGTCTGGTTCACACCCAACTCAGTAATTGTTGCCTTGTTGTCGTTAGCATTAACAACAAAACTATAATTTTAGAATAACATATTGTTGTTTCAATTTTACAGCTGACAATGGAATGTGCACTCTAGAATTACATCATGGGGGCTAGTTTGAAAATGAGGTTTATAAGATGGGTATGGTCTGTTATTTGGACAATATTATAGAGGATTTTCTGTCCTTATTAGATTTACTGAAAATTAGGAGAGGTCTTGGGTATGAGGTTGACATTTCTCAAGTTGAGCAACGTTTGGAAATTAGGTGTAAAAATCCTAAGGGTGGACTAGAGCTTGTTACATCGGATGCTACAGTGGTTGAAATGGTTGGTCACATACCATCCAATAAGGTTATTGTGTTGTACTATAGTGAGATTGAAGACTATGAGTATGATGCAGATGCAGAGAATTGTGATGGGGATTTGACTCAGAATTACCAAGTGAATAGGGTGGATTATATTGAAGTTGAAGCTGAGGAGACTTTTGAGAATGTTGGGACAAAAGTGGCAAATGAAGATGCAGGGGCAGAATTACCAAATGAAGATGCAGGGGCAGAATTACCAAATGAAGATATAGGGGCACATTTCACTATTGATACCGAAGGAGCAAAATTGCCAAATGAAGATATAGGGGCACATGTGACAATTGATAATGAAGGGGCAGAATTGCCAAATGAAGATGAAGATGAAGATGCAGATTCAGAAATTAAAGACAGTGATTATGAGTTCAGTGACAATGAGGCAGAGGATAGGCCAACTGTTGGAAAGAATGTAGCAGATGAGGGGACTAGTCATGGTGGTCAAGGAGAGGTGTCATCAGATGGTGCTGACACGTCAGAATTTGATAGTGGAAGTGAGATTGATTATGAGAGTAATGGTAGAAAAAAGATAAAACTGCCAAAATTTAAGAAGTATAGAAGAGATGTGGATTTGAAAAATCCTGAGTTTAGATTCGGAATGAAGTTTGCAAACAAAAAACTTCTGATAGAGGCTATCAAGGAGCTTGCAATTATAGAGGGTAGGGAAGTGAAATTGAAAAAAAAACGACAACAAACGAGTTCAGGCTAAATGTGTGAAAGGGTGTTCTTTCCAGGTATATGGATCAAGGATTAATAGAGAGGAAGGGACATTTACTATAAAAACTTTGAGCCTAGAACATCAGTGTAGAAGAGTGGACAAGCTTAGGCATACTACATCAAAATGGCTTTGTGATATATATGCAAACATGCTGAGGCGCAACTCAGACTTTGATCTGAAATCATTTCAACAAGATGTGTTGGCAGATTACAAAATAAATGTCACCAAACTTCAAGTTTATAGGGCAAAGAGGCTAGCCAGAGATTTAAATGAAGGTACTTTCAAAGAACAATATGCTAGATTGTGGGATTATGCAGAAGAATTGAAAATTGCAAACCAGGGTAGTGCAGTGAAGATTAAAACTCAGATTGTGAAGGGTGAGACAGTGTTTCAAAGAATATATGTGTGCTTGGCTGCCTGTAAGAAGAGATTTTTACAAGGTTGCAGACCTGTTGGTGTTGATGGCTGCCATTTGAAAGGGCCTTATCCTGGACAGATCTTGACGGCTGTTGGGGTGGATGGGAACAATGGTTATTTCCCAGTAGCTTATGCAGTGGTTGATATTGAGAGTAAAGACTCTTGGAATTGGTTTTTCAATCTTCTTATTGAAGATTTTGGGATTACAAATGGACAAGCTTGGGTAGTGATTAGTGACAAACAAAAGGGACTTGTACCTGCCATCGAGAAAGTACTTCCAACTGAAGAGCACAGGATGTGTGTGAGACACCTGTACAGTAACTTTAGGGCATCACATATTGGTCTTGCTCTGAAACATATAGTATGGGCTGCAACAAGAGCTACAACTGTGCCTTGGTGGGAGGCAGAAATGGAGAAGATGAAAAATGAGGATGAGGAAGCATGGAAGTGGTTGAAGAAGAGACCTGCAAGAAATTGGAGCAGACCTTACTTCGGATCACATTTTAAATGTGATCTTTTGTTGAATAATCTATGTGAAAGTTTCAATGCAGCCATACTAGATGCAAGGGATAAGACAATTTTGAGTTGCTTGGAGAGGATAAGGGTGTATGTGATGCTTAGGATGGCTAGTAGGAGGTCTGCATGTCAGAACTGGAGATACTCTGTTGGGCCTAGGATCTTCAAGATAATTGAGAAGAACAAGCTAGGTTCATCACAATGCATTCCTAGATTGGCTAGTGAGCAATTTGTATCAAGTGAGCCACATTTATGGTGGAGAATTTGTTGTAGACCTTAGAGCAAAGACATGCTCTTGTAGGAGGTGGAATTTATGTGGAATACCATGTCCCCATGCAATCTCAGCAATATTTCAAAGATGTGAAAACCCAATTGCCTATGTGGATGCTTGTTATAAGCTGGAGACTTATACGAAGGCTTATGAACCAGTGATTCACCCAATCCCTTCAATGGACCAATGGAGTAAATGTGGCCTTCCTCCAATTAAACCTCCACTTTTTAAGCAACAACCGGGTAGGCCTAAAAG